GTCAATCACCACAATTGCTTTCCATGACCACCTGTATTTTCGACTTTAGAAAGCATAACATCAGATACTGACGTAGTGGGAGCAGAGTATTCATTATTGACATCTTCATATGTAATACATAAATCTTTAGCAGTTTGAAAAGTACAAGAAGGAATCTGAATTAACTTCTTCTCTAATTTAGGAATGTTGATTCCAGCAGTTAGACGATCACGTAGTTGAGTATGCAGCTGATCTCCAAAGTTACACTTTGAAGCTTGTATTTGGAAATGCAGAATAAAGTCTCTGATCTTCTGAATGGGAGCACGAACCAGTTTGTTGAATTGAGCCCTCTCTCGTGTCTCAAAAGTAGTTATATGGAAGTGATTTATCAGAAGTTTACGAATCTTGACATATGACAGAGAAATAGGTTTATCTGGAAACACCAGAGTCTTTACTAGGCTATATGCATCTAGCCCAATAGCAGTGATGAAATGTGCTGGTATTTTGTCATCCCGAACGTTCTTTGAAATGAACCATGCATCAAAGCATTCAAGGTAATCAACAATCTCCCGCGGAGTAGCATTTATAGGAAATTTTCCCAGGTTATTTAGTTCCATCGCGACGCCAATTTGTAGTAATTATTTGTAATCGTGGTATTAGTATTTTGAGATGACCGAATTACAAGAATTCAACCAAAGCACAGAGAGGGCAGAAATCAGGAATTTGTATTTAGCGGAATTCTAATGCAATTCATATATGAAACATATTAACAATCAACAGTAAGTATTTAAACAACACAGAGATAGAAATTGTCAATCACCACACAAACATTTGTCAGTTTACTGTTGAGCATTACCTTGAGACAATTTTGAATTTTTAAAAATTTGACTACTGATGTAATACACGGTACTCTTCGCAAGTGCCTTTTGGTTTTACGTTGTGGGCGTCGAGTAGCCACAACGTCTATGCACATTGATAAACGTGAATAAGTACTAGGAAATACGTGTACACTAATTTATTCATATAACGCAAGCAACAAATTGGCGAGCCCGACGATAACTTGTTGACCACAACGCATCAACACACTATCTGGATTAATAAAACACTAACTTTATCGGATGTGGTGATTGACTATTTCTATCTCTGTGTTGTTTAAATACTTACTGTTGATTGTTAATATGTTTCATATATGAATTGCATTAGAATTCCGCTAAATACAAATTCCTGATTTCTGCCCTCTCTGTGCTTTGGTTGAATTCTTGTAATTCGGTCATCTCAAAATACTAATACCACGATTACAAATAATTACTACAAATTGGCGTCGCGATGGAACTAAATAACCTGGGAAAATTTCCTATAAATGCTACTCCGCGGGAGATTGTTGATTACCTTGAATGCTTTGATGCATGGTGCATTTCAAAGAACGTTCGGGATGACAAAATACCAGCACATTTCATCACTGCTATTGGGCTAGATGCATATAGCCTAGTAAAGACTCTGGTGTTTCCAGATAAACCTATTTCTCTGTCATATGTCAAGATTCGTAAACTTCTGATAAATCACTTCCATATAACTACTTTTGAGACACGAGAGAGGGCTCAATTCAACAAACTGGTTCGTGCTCCCATTCAGAAGATCAGAGACTTTATTCTGCATTTCCAAATACAAGCTTCAAAGTGTAACTTTGGAGATCAGCTGCATACTCAACTACGTGATCGTCTAACTGCTGGAATCAACATTCCTAAATTAGAGAAGAAGTTAATTCAGATTCCTTCTTGTACTTTTCAAACTGCTAAAGATTTATGTATTACATATGAAGATGTCAATAATGAATACTCTGCTCCCACTACGTCAGTATCTGATGTTATGCTTTCTAAAGTCGAAAATACAGGTGGTCATGGAAAGAAATCCAAACTGCCGTCCACAGGTAATAGAATGCAGCGAGAGATCAAAAACATTAAACCGTGTTTTTCCTGTGGAAAGTTACATCTACGAAGCACTTGCCGTTTTCGGGGTGCTAAGTGTCACAAATGTGGTAAAGTTGGACACATCAAGACTGTTTGCAGAAGTTCGAATACTTATGTTACTCAGCACTCTTATAATTCTCCCAATCTGTCTAGTAAAATGGAGTCAATGTGTCTTTCAACTTTTCAAAATACTCAATCTCATCCAATGAAAACCTCCACTACAAGTTCAGCAACTCAAGCGTCAACTGTATTCAAAATGAGGTAGCTGAGTTACAATGCGAACTGTCGAAAACACGAAAAAACTGAACGAGATGAGAGAGCAACTGATTAAAATGGAGGAATTACTGCATATGCATAGACTGCGTCTGTCGAATGCAGAGCATACAAGTACCCGTGAAAGTCCTGCAAAACTATTCAAATCTCGAATTCTCAAAAAGCATCTGATGTCCACGACTTCTAATGTACATTATTACAAAAGGAATGACCATAGACCTTCTGTTGGAATTATACTACAAAAAATGGGAAATCGAGTGGTGAAGATATTAGACATCAAAGATCACTCAGTTCATAACGGACACCTAGACAAAGTGACAATAAATGAAGTAGGTCGTTCCAATTATAATATTATTGATTCCGCTAATAATCCTGATTTCGTAGATAATTGAGAAATAAGTCCAGATAATACTGATGAAAATAATATCACAGAATCAGTTAGAAGGTCGAAGCTACTTGCAAGCAAACCGAGACATCGTTATAAATACGCAAGGAGACATTCGACGTGTGGCGGATGTGGTGATTGACAATTTCTATCTCTGTATTGTTTAAATACTTACTGTTGACTGTTGATATGTTTCTTATATGAATTGCACAATAATTCCGCTAAATACAAATTCCTGAATTCCGCCCTCTGTGAGTTTTGGTTGGATTCTTGTAATTCGGTCATCTGGAAATACTATTATTACAATTACAATAAATTGCTACGGTTTGTGAAGTAAATATAAAATCGGTCTGTGTAGACATATAATATAAATATCGAAATTAAAGTAAAAACTGTGTTTACAGTTGGTATAAGGTACTACTGCGTAATTTGTCTGAAACGTCTGCCGTACTTCCTCAAGTCATTTCGGAAATTCCGGCCACATATTTAGTTGTCGTACGTATTCACGTAAAACCTCACACTCGGATAGAACTTTTTCAAATTCAAGTGAAAATGTCTATGGATTAAAGTCAGGGGGGAAAAGAAGGAAAATGAGGTAAAGAAAAAAGGGGGAAATGATATGTGGTAAAATGAACCGTGGTCGTAAATGTGAAATACAAACATAGGTTCTGTATGTTGACATGTGTTAGTTTTTGAACATATTAAACAAACATTTGTACCTTAACTCCCAAAATAACCCTTCCTTCTGATACCATGAACTAACCAAAACAAAAAAATATCGTTCAAAGTGCAAGAAACGCTATTGGATCAGAAGCCGAATAATGATTGCTCGACTAGCCAGAGTCTGTGCACGAACGATCCGACTGTGAACCAATTGACCATGTACGTTTGATTTAACAAGTTGACTTAAACAGTGAGGATCGGCATTGAGTGATGAATACTGTAGACTATTCGTCGACACAACATCCGCTTACGTTTTCTTTAAAATGTGGAAGTGTTTCTAAAACGAACACTACAATCTTCAATGATAGAAGTATTGGCTTTCAGCGCCTCGGTTTAGTGTTGTGCTGCTACAATATTTTTGATAAACTACAGAGAGATTCAGTGCTATATCTTGATGCTAGTCATATAATGATTATGAGCAATAAATTTCGCTTGAAGGAAAATCGAAAGTAATATTATATCACTGCGTTTTCTATCAAATAGGGCTATTAGATGATGAAACTACCACATTGCCTAGATTCTGTTCCTGCACTGTAAAATGGCACTGTCAATGTTGTCGAAGATTGAACGATCAATTCATGGTTGTTTGCTCAAACCAACTCCTCCAAATTTTTCGCAGGTGTCATCAGTACGGCAGTCATCGTCTCATCATTCGCTGTTCGGAGGAAGAGAGAAATCTATCATAAGTATTATCGTGATTTATTGTTATAAAATTTATTCTTAGACCTTGTGTATAATAACCTTATTGTTGGTTACATATTGGCGTAAGAATAAAGGATTCTCAAGTCGCCAATCTATGTTCTGGTTTTTTCGCGTTCGTTATTACAAAGTGTTTCTGAAAGTCTTCCAGGGACAGCGTGAGGTCCAGCGTGGTAAGAGCTGGACATTGACAAGCACCTTGAAAGTCTCCATAAGCTGCCTCATTTACCATTCTGTATTGCCGAATACTAGCAGGTCAGTGACTATGACTAAATAGTGACAACAATATAAGTGCACTAAAATGCGTGTTAATCTATTATTCCTTCCACCTTCTATCTCTCCCAAACATTTGCATGCTACCCTATTTAAATTCCATGTTTTCTGACAGTTAAACGCCAGTATATTACCGTTGAAACGACTACCTTTGCCTGAGGATCGAAGTATGAGTCTCATGGAATCGCCTGGAACTATCAAAGAAGTATCTGATATTGCCTTTTGTCACTCCATGTCGCTTGCACCAATGTAGTGCCGGTAATCATTTTTTTTATTACCTGGTGCCTCACAGCTTGAGTTTCCTGCATCTATGTACTCGGCATATGTGTGGAAACAGCAAAATCTAGTGTCAAGTTATTACCACTCCATCCATGTGGTGGACACATGATTTGTCACCAACCATACCGCATAGAACACATGGACCCTCATCCAGTCATCAAAGCTAAGAATCTATCGGTTCGGTCAGTAATTGCAGAAATGATTAACTGCGAATACCGAGTTTTGTGTTGGATTCTGTGTGCACCAATGGTTTCATCGATAGAATGAATGCCAACAACGGGAGAGTTGCGGGTTGAATTCCTGGATAGAAGACTCCTATACCTCTTTCAGACGGCAGTATTCCATGGAAAAATAGGGAAACGTCATGAGTTTGGCAACCGAATCCCCTAAATATTTAAAACTTGAGACACAGTCCATTGAGAATTTAGCAAATGAAGGGTTAACAACAACATGAAAACACTAACATTATTAAGGTAAATATTAGAAATTGAGTACTGTGAACACCAATATCAGAATTGCACGGAAAATGAATGATAGAAGCATATGTGTGAAGCAAATACAAAAGAAACACCATTAGACTTTAATGTTGGATAACATCGACTGTATGTCTCTGAAACTTTTATTTTCATCAGTTCTATTTGATACAAGTTATTGATAAAGCCGATTTAATAAAACCGAAAAGATGTTCATTTGAAACAGAAAATAGTTTACTATTGTTTGGCAGTATTAATTACTGGTGAGTTTGTATTCCCTACTCTCATCGTCTCGTTGATGAACTTCTGATCGATTCTCGACTGTTCACAGAAGGTGATCTTGATCGTTGTAATTCCTGTCGGGATTCTTTCCATTGAACACCTTCATACTGACCTCTCTGTTGACATGCTTTCCATATTGCGACTATTATCCATGTAATACACGTTAGACTCAATAGTGTGAAGACCATAGTCAGTGTTAAGCTGACATAACTGACTAGAAATGGAAGAATAATAACAGAGAGATTGAAAGCAAATCATGATCAAGAATATATTAAGGCGCCATGTTTGTAAACTCTGGATGACTATTTGGCATGAAGCTTAAACAAAAACCTGCGTATATTACAATATATTGCTTTGTGAAGATGTGCCGGCTAGGATATCATGAACTTGTAACACCCCTATATTAAGCCTAACTGCACGCTTATAAAACTAATTTAGGTACGCACGTCATACACTTAAACAGACCAATTTCACAAATACTTGTTGGATATTCACGATTGAATTATTGAACATTACTTTTCGTTAATCTGTCAATTCAACTTCTTCCGAACGACATAACTCAACAAGCCTTCCGAATTTTTGAAATTGGCTGTGAAATGCAATGAATGATATTTAATCAAAGGGGAATGTTTAGTTTTCCATTTACTAAAACAGACATTTCTGTGAACTTGGAGATGGTGCTAAAAGTAGTACAATTTATGGACTGTTTATTAGATCTAACCAATATATTTGTTTTAATTAATGCAGAGAAGACAGCTCATCGGATGAAAATAGTGAGGACAGGAGTAATGGAGACGGCTGACCACCACTAACAATAAGCACAAATCGTCATCAGCGGGAGAAATCTAAGTGAAGTCATGTCTCCTTCACATATCTCAGTCGAATCATTTCAGCTATAGACAACATGGATGGCGATAGCGAACCCAGTCTACGTTGGACTGGGAAAGCAAGATTGTCACTCATTACTTCGAAATCACTATGGAGATGCAAAACACTTAGCACATGGAACCAAGCAGAATGAAGCTGTGCCACTTAAGCCCCATGATCTGAATAGTCAACGTATCAACAAAGAAACTATAGAGAAATTAGCAATGTGAACTTTTCCTGTCCTACTTTTTTAATAAGTAAATATTTTCTTCAGAGTTTACAAGATGTTTTTCAGTGATTTCGATGATGGATTCTTCGTATATTGATCACTGAAATTCAAAACTGGATGGCCGCCAAATAGCAATTTGTTTTCGCCCATAAGTATAAGTTTGTACTAGTGAAAATGGCCACACTGAACCGTAGAAATAAATCAAGAAAAAAAATCTTGTATTCGAGGCAAACACAGACAGCTCCGATAGTTTTTTCTGTCAAACACTAAAGAGAACTATTCGAATTTGAGTTCTGTCATTTTGTTTAAATACTGAGAAGATTTGTGTCTACCACAAGTAGAGGAATGACATGACTGATGAAAATTTTTTTAATTTAGATATGATAGGAATGATTTGTAGCTCAGGTGGATGATATTGGTGCACATCCTATTCTCTGAGCTCTCCAGACAGGTTTATTATTGAAATTTGCGCTTCAGGTGTTTTGTGCAGAAAGAGACAACGAAAGCCTCACAACTAAGCCATCTCCACCTCAGAAAACACAACGACATCAATATTCCTTTGGTTAAAAGTGACTTTAGCCGTTGTTTTTAGTATATCTTAAAAGAATGTCAATTCGGAGTATAATGCGATTGTATCTGGAATCGATGAGCATGAAAAGCAATTTCAAAAAATACATATGTACATATTACAGTCAAATATTATTGGTTCACACGAGATTAACTTACAACGACATTCAAGTGGAACTTTTGGGTCAAGATCGGCAGGTGCAAAGAAATAATTACAGACACATGTGAAATTTCCATCCAATGTTTTCAAACAATGAGAGTGTTGAGGGCATACTTGATGCTCACAGTCGCTGGTAAATGGTTTAATTAGGAATGCCTTTTGTTTTGCAGAAGAAAAAACAAGGCGAAATATGCAAAAAATAAAAATAAATTAAAATCTGTACGACTTGATTTCATTTACAATTCATTCATTTTCTTGCTGGCCTCCACAAATTAGAAAACGGCGTAATAAATTAGGTTGAAACAAGACTAATATAGCGAAAATTCTCAAATAGACATCAGGACGACTAAATGAAACAAGAGATTGAGCAAAGAATATTCTTTACAATGAAATGCCTCATCCTGTCCTACAACTATTTTATATGTATTTAATGGTTAAAGAATAATTGTTATTGACAACCAACCTTCTTATTCTTTTTTAAATAATGTCAAGTTGTTAGGATCGAAATTATGTGTTAGTGATCATATGCATAAATATAGCACTCAAAATGAATATCAGAAGAATAAAGCAACAACTAAGGATGGACACGACAATAGCATTTTGTAAAAGACTTAAGAGGAAGCGTCGTTTATCAGATTTTTATACTTCAGGTAATTTAGGTTTCTAAAGGAAACCTCATGTTATCAACTAGTTTGAATCCAAGAACAACATTTAAAACAGTCAAATGTCTGACTTACTTTATCCGGTTAACAATACTGAGGATTCCAAACCTGAACGAGTGAGTCGACTGTCTGGGTTTCTTGATTGCTTCAGTCTGCCTGAGAAGTACTATAGGTTGATGTGAGTGGTTTTCAACTTACAGCGTGTCGAATCCTACTGCTCCTGTGCAGGTGGTTAACTTTGACGTTGTAAGCGTGTTCTTAGGAAACAGGCTTCTGAACGCTTCACGGTTCTATTGACGAAAGACAAACACAAGATGATGAAGTCTTCTGTATGTTAGCGCCGTCTCGAGTTAGGTCACTTAACCTCATACGACTTATCCTCTAAAGTTGTCTACAGGGATAAATTCAGCCCCTGTGAAGGTTTACATTTGATTCACTTACATATAGCCAAAGTTCTAGCTATACATGGACGAAAAGCTAAACTATGTATTCACGAAATTTAAAAAAATACCCATTCTTCGCCTCCATCATGGCACCATTTGACTCACTTGAAGAACTTAAACACCAACTTACTTATCTAACAAACTTTTATAATTCAGTAGTTCGTCCACTTCAACTCTACCTCCTCAAAAATCATTTTAGTTGTCTTTATTCTTATCATATGTCTACGTTGGCTGAGCAATTATTAGTGCTACTCAACGCCCTTTTATGTAATATGAATACTACTGTACAGCTTGAAGATATGTTTATTCTCTGAATGATTCTATCTCTTTCGCTGTAACTTGTTAGTGATGGAAATTAATCAGCATTTGTTGATATATGAACTTCTGGTTCAGACAGTCCAGTGTGGAATTAAACCAATCCCTCCAATCATTTGTTTCCGCTGTCGAAAAAGAGACGATCTAAATACAAGACAGCCACTTGGTTTACTTTTGTATCAGAGATGAAATGGTTCGTAGAGTGGGTAATACTTCAAACCACTAATAGTTCTGGTCACCAAATTGTAGTGACTGACATTTGTAGAAATGAAACCAATTGTTTACGCTGAGCGTATTCTGAGGTACAGTCTCACTGCTCATCTCGCTGCCCTAAAATCCTCAGTTAGTCTTCCTGTTCAGCAAGACAATTAGATGTGTTCCCCTCTTAATCAGATTTTGGGATAACACTACTTTAAAAGTTCATTAGAGAGTGTTACTGATAAAATCAGTTCACCAGCTTAGCTAACACTCGTTCTCCTTCAATTTTATATTCTAAACACTAGTTTGACACTGTTTTTATCAATCATGCCAGTTATTATAAGTGATTTATGTAGGCGGGTTAGCGGGATAGTGATTTGCTCAAGGCTAGAGACGTAGTGAGTTGAAGGTAGCTACTATTGGGAAACGACGAGTTGGGTATCGGAGAGGGATATGGAGGAGATCGTGAGAGGGAGAGATGAGAGCTTATGAGCAGATGTGCATCCCTTTAAAGAAGATAGTGGAGAACAGGCTGAAATGTAAATGTGCTTGACTTATATAGCCCACCCAACTGGAAGAATTGAATTGGTAGATACACGGTAAAACAAAGTCGTGAAACGCGCGTTGAGATCTTTTCTATGGGTATCTACTAATTGGCTTGTTTGTATGGCGCAAAATATATCAGCGGTTCAAAATGCGTTTATTTTATGTGGAAAAGTCAGGAAACATTACTCCACATAGCTACGGAAAGATCAAGATAGGTCAATACGGTGTGATGTAACTGAACATATATTTAACACTGGTCACTCAGTGCCTAAAGAAGATTCATTCAAAGTTATCTAGCAGTTAGAAATCACAGATCATTGGATTCTACACATTCAGTAAACGGTCATCCAGCCAATTGACCTCATAACCTCAAAGTCTTTGGTATGCACTTCTGAAAACTACTCAGTTCTCTCATTGGCTTTCGATGATTCTCTGACTGATGTAAATGAGTGAGAAATGCTAATTAATTTTACATTATTGTGTCACCCAGTTGTCTAATCACATTTTGATCTTATTTCGATTGATGAATTGATTCCTACACCCTATATGCGTTCAAATGACAATGTTAATTAGTAAATGGCCTATCATTCCACCCTTCACGTTAACGCGGATACAGTTTCTGACTGATGTAATTTTCATTCACCTTCACCAGCTGTTTGTATTCTAACATTATTTATGAATTTATAACTGTAGAGTGTGAGGAAGAAGATATCAATCATGTTTTAATATAAAAAATTTTATGGCCTATAGTGATTTTTGAGGAATTCTGTCGATTAACATCGTTTAATTATTGTGTCAATCTGCAAGCCTCTGAGTTTAACACGTTCATGCCTCTCTACAGGTGATCAGCCATTTAAAAATGAGAATATGTTGGTAAGGTGAATATGAAATACCAGACAAAGGAATGATCAACTCTTGTCAGCTACATGTCTCTTCAAATGGCGCACAATTTGAGATCATTTGATGATCTGTGATAATAATAATAATAGACATATTTTAGTCTTGTAGACTCCCTATTGCTTTTATTAGTAAACGCAAATAACAAAATATTTTTAAATTATCTCATACACATTAAAAACTGAGGCTTGTTTCAGCAAAATAAATCAATATTCTAATTGTCTAGCTATTCACCTTTTACAAGTATTGGTTTGCTGGAGGTGTTGATCAATCTCAGTTTACATAACGAAGAAATTTCAGTCAGAAAAACTCTGAAAACCAGGAGCCTATCGTTAAAGATTGAATGAAGGATCTTCAGGTTACGATTCGTGCTCGTTTATGTTTCATCCACTCGGAGGGAGACCAATAACTTATAAATTGTAAATTCTGCAGATTGGCAATATTTACACACCCGCCGACTTTCATTGTGATTGGTGAAGATTTTTTTCACACCCTACTTGATGGAACACACTGGTAACCATACTTGAAGCGAATCAAATACTCACGAGCCTACACTTGAAAATTGGTGTAAAGCTGATTAGTGATTGGCTCTGGAATGAAGCTGTTGGGAGTTCTAGTGGAAGGCGTCACTAAAGAAAGGCGACACGCATCCAAGCCATTGAAAAGGCACGGGATTTTAGATGACCTAGTATTTAAAAACATCTTATACTGTGGTGAGAGCAGGCTGCTAGCCAAATTGGTCGACATTAATTTACGTCAATGTTTACTTCCCCAATATTGGTCGTGAGAAAATATGAACAAAACTGATTCAACAGCCAGTCAGAGCGGACTTTGCGTAGGCAGATACAGTTAACATATAGATGATCTGACATTCAAGAAACAGTCACAAAGAGATACAAGGTCAAATTTCCGTGAGAAACAATCAATCAGAAGACCGTGTTTTTCTGCTAACAATAATCTATAATATGTACATGAAAATCTATAAATATGTGTTGATTTCCTTAATAAAGGATCTGTTGCCTGGCCCTTGTCTTCTGTTGTTACAATACTAATGTATCTAAATAGCCTAGTAGCATGTCGATTTTACTCACATATTCCACTTCTTGGACTTAAGAAGAGCGTAAAAAGACACCGCATCAGAATAAAAGGCGTCTATTTGATTCTGTCGGCTCCTTTTAGTCGTACACATATATAATTTCACTCCAAAATTATACCATATATGAAGTGATGACAGTCAATAAGGATAATCGATTCTAAGGTATTGATAGCGGGGATGGAAATAACTGACTACATAAGCAAGACTGTTAATTCATAGAAGTTAGTAACAGATTGTTAATCAACATGAAATATAGATTTCGAGTTGTAGGACGGGCTAGAATAATTACAGAATTTTAAGTCGCTTTACTTGTGACGGTTAGCCGTGTAACGACAAGATGCGGTGGCATAGCTTTATTTGATCCTTTGACTAACCGAAATGTGTGGTATTCGTGAATCCGATGATGAAATGCCTAATCGTACCCCCAACGTAACTAGCTTCACTGGAAGGGGCCAAGTGTTGGTGAATAAACAGTATGACTTTGCCGCCTATAAAATCCTTTTGATGACGGGCCAGAAAGGACGAACAAACAGCAAGCAAATCTCATTAGCAATGGACCAATTAACAATCCAATGTCCAGAAGATATGCAACAAGGAAATGAGGATGGGGAATCTGAAGTAGTCTAAAGAGACTGTTGAGTGACATAATACGACTGTCTGTCTGTCTATCGAGTGGAACACAATTAGGAAGCGATGATCTGTGTATTTGAGGGTGGCATGTTTAAGATCATATGAAGACAAGAAGCAGTAGAAGTCTTGTGAAGAGTTGTAGATCTAGCTAGAAGTGATGGCAAAGTACTGGGTGAAATGACGATGTGCCTGTAAGATTTTGGAGTGCGAGGAGTGGAAAATTAATGAAAAGGTACCAGTCCAAATGCACATATCTTTTCATTGAGTTTCCACCTTTTATATTGTATCAAACTTGAACACAATGCATAAAAGTTAAAGAGGCATATAACTGTGTGAATTACTTGTCAGTAAGTATTAATACTGTGGTCA